CAGTTACGTATTGTTGTTTGGCTGTTCAGCTGAAGCAGGTGAAGTCACAACGATCATAAAGAAGGTTATGGTATCAGTTTGGGACGCTAAAAGAATTTACACACTATCGATAGTAGTAAAATCAACTTGAATATTATTGCTGCCTTTTGGATCAGCTGAATAAAAAACTTCGTGAGAAAAGACCTGGAATTTAAGGAATTAAAGTAAATAAAGACAAAATTTAAGGAATTAAAGTACGAATTGTTGAGCATCCGCCGTATTCACTGATTTGGCTCAATGACTACTACCTTTAGAAACCTGAAGTAATTCTTCATGGAAAGGTCTTCGTCGAATAAAGAAGCTATTACATATACGGTATTTTGCATCTTCCGGTGTTATTGTTTGTAGAAATACATAAAATTGCTTGGAGGATTATTGACAAGTATGAGGTTACGGAGATTATATGACAAGAAATATATTTTCGTACCAAAATGCATTTTTATTTCGAACACATAAACTTTTCGATCAACCTGTATTGATACTATTTTATTGTCAGTAACAGTATATTTATGAAGTTTGAAATCTGTACTATTCAAAAATTAAATAATGTTTTAGTGACAAACTAAAGTAAATAATTTCTTTACTGTCCAAAATATTACCTATTTAAACCGAAAATAATGAATTGAACAACATTTTTCTTCATCAACTAAGCGAATTGCTCGAGTCAGTTCCATTTCGGAGCTTGTTAAGTTTGTTATTGCATGACTTCATCGGCATTTCCGCCACTTTTCCCATAAAAATATCAAGCCCATTTTCTTTGACAACATCATTATTTACTGAAGTTGTTGGCTTGGCAGCACAGCAACACTGCTCCACTGACCGAGTGCCATTAGACGAGGCGCATCATGCCATACACACTTAGACGATCCATACCTAGTTATTTGAAGGTGTAAACGCCTATTTCACTGTAAGCGTGTTTGCATGGTGTGTGTCCTTAGTAAGCAATTGTCGCTGGTGTTGCATATTAATCGCTTTGTGGCATAGCTCTCGGCGATTTTCACTTTCTCAACGCGACCCAAAGTCAAATGCACGCTAGAAAGTGTTTGTTGTCCGCGATTGCGTTGCGGTCACTATTTCAGTGTGGGTAAGATTTTTATTTCTTCACCTATATTTTTTATTTTAATCATTTTTCTGTTTTTCAGAATACGTAATATTAATTTTATTAATTCATGTCGTATTTAATTTCTCATATACACGAGTTACGAAATAAAATAGAACACACTTTCACAAATATTGAAAAAGTATAACACAGTTCTTAGGGAAAACAATTTTTAAGTAATAAACTTATTTAAACATTTCAAAAGCAAATATAACTTAAATAAATTATATTATCAGCAGATAACATTTGAAGGAACTGTCAGAACTTATGTGTTATAAGTAATTTGTTGCAAACCTTTATTTGCGAGTACGGCAGTGCACCTTCCGGCATAGATTTCACTAGAGCTATAGACTGAATTCGGTATTGAATAAACCTCTTGACTTTTCCTATAGGTCCTCCCACTTATCAACATTATGAACAAGATGATGAAGTGCTCAGCTCGGGTGTAGTCTCTACACAATTATGCGCAAAAGATTATGAAAAGCTGCGTGATACTTGTCAGGTAATATAAAAATCAACTCTTTCTAATATATGGTATATAATATATCACATGCCACCATTTTCCGTTAATTATATTTACAAAAACTCATTTTCCAGGGTGATTCTGGTGGTCCTTTGATTGTGTATGAAAAAATCGACGGTTACATTCGTATGGCTTATATTGTGGGTATTACGTCGTTTGGTATTGGCTGCGGCACAGG